TCCCGCGGCGGATTTACGGCCGCCATCGCTCAAGTGATTACATCATTGCATGGAGAAGGGGGATGTGCTGAGCTCAGTGACATCATCGCTGCTGAAGTCATATGCAAATCCCGACTTTTCCTACAACAGTTGAACTTGGCCACGCCCCAACCTAGCTGCCACGCCTCCTTGTTGGTCTTTGCGATGGAAGGCCTGAATGGCCAATAGGGAGGCCAGACTTCTAATCAGACCTATTGGCCCCCGTGCCTGTGGATGGGGCCCCTTCCAATCACACAACATTTATATGTGTCTGATCTCCGCTGTCGTGGCAGAAAGGTGAACATGTGACTGGTGAAGGGCAGAAATTCGAGGCATTGAAGAGAAGGGGAGATGACATTGGTGTGATGGGGTGACCTTCCCTGACCCCGCCCCCCCCCCATATAAAACCTTTCCTCTCCCATTACATCCCATATTTTATTCCCAGCGTTGTCATCACTGTGTCTCTGTGCTTCTCTACGCAATGCAGGCAGATCATAGCTGGTGGGAGGGGCCGGCGGGGTCAGTACTCCTCTCAAGAGCCCTCAACCTGATGCCAGCAGTGGGCGGGCTCTTGGGAGGAGTTACGCAGATATCACATATAAATGCCTTGATGGGTGAATGTCAGGAGTGGGCGTTCCCAGGCAGGATGTATTTGCATGCAGACGACCCCCCTAGGTGACGCCCACATGTGATGCTGAGCCTCCATGATTGACAGAACTGAAATCCAATGAATGAAAGGGGCGGGGCCAGGGAGATAGAAGACTGAAGGGGAGGACGGAGGTTAGATGGAAGACTGAAGGGGAGGACGGAGGTCAGATAGAAGACTGAAGGGGAGGACAGAGGTCAGATAGAAGACTGAAGGGAAGGACGGAGGTCAGATAGAAGACTGAAGGGGAGGACGGAGGTCAGATAGAAGACTGAAGGGGAGGACGGAGGTCAGATATTAGACTGAAGGGAAGGACGGAGGTCAGATAGAAGACTGAAGGGGAGGACGGAGGTCAGATATTAGACTGAAGGGAAGGACGGAGGTAAGATAGAAGACTGAAGGGAAGGACGGAGGTAAGATAGAAGACTGAAGGGGAGGACGGAGGTCAGATAGAAGACTGAAGGGAAGGACGGAGGTCAGATAGAAGACTGAAGGGAAGGACGGAGGTCAGATATAAGACTGAAGGGGAGGATGGAGGTCAGATAGAAGACTGAAGGGAAGGACGGAGGTCAGATAGAAGACTGAAGGGGAGGATGGAGGTCAGATAGAAGACTGAAGGGAAGGACGGAGGTCAGATTTAGGGTACAGCTAAGCCAATCCATCTGAAGCAGGCTCGGAGTGGGAGGGGCCGGAGATGTGGGAGGGGCCGGAGATCGGCAGAGATTGCGGTGACACTGAAGGCGATCTCTGAGTTGCAGTTTTATGACAGGTTCCCTTTAATCCATTTGCGGATTGGCTGTGACGGCAGAATGGACGGACATCAGGAATGCGGCTGGTAAGGCGGATTTAATGAGGAGATTTGTGTAGATTGGGCTCCATCACAGCGCAGATTAGAGGAACAGCTGGTGGTGAGTGCGGGCCCCTGGCAGCCCTGTGGGGGGCCAAACATCATCCCAGTCACATCTGAGCCGATTAACCCCGAGCCACAAATAACGGAGATGTAAAACACGGAGCCTCAACCCAGGACCGGCGCTGCCTCCAATCAGGTCACATGACCCAGATCACACGGTGTGTCCAACGGAGGGGCCCCTATCACCAGTATTCATAGGAGGGGCCCCTATCAGCATAGTACAATGTATACTCTAATAATGGGCGGGGCTTATTATACAAGGTATAGTCTAATAATGGGCGGGGCTTATTATACAAGGTACATTCTAATAATGGGTGGGGCTTATTATACAAGGTATAGTCTAATAATGGGTGGAGCTTATTATACAAGGTATAGTCTAATAATGGGCGGAGCTTATTATACAAGGTATAGTCTAATAATGGGTGGGGCTTATTATTCAAGGTATAGTCTAATAATGGGTGGAGCTTATTATACAAGGTATAGTCTAATAATGGGTGGAGCTTATTATACAAGGTATAGTCTAATAATGGGTGGGGCTTATTATACAAGGTATAGTTTAATAATGGGCGGAGCTTATTATACAAGGTATAGTCTAATAATGGGCGGGGCTTATTATACAATATATAGTCGGATAATGGGCAGGGCTTATTATACAATGTGTACTCTAATAATGGGCGGGGCTTATTAGACAATATATAGTCTAATAATGGGCAGGGCTTATTAGACAATACATAGTCTGATAATGGGCGGGGCTTATTATACAGGAAGGACGTCACACTCACAATTGTAACAAATCAGCTTTTATTTGATTAAGAAAATGGGTTTTGCCGCCATGAGAGTGTTCCGGTGCCGGGATGGCAGACGGGCGATCACATGGTAACCTCAATACCGCTGAAGTCCTAACGTAGAAGAATGACTGCCGATTGGCTGCAATGCATTGTGGGCGGCTCCCTCCCGCCCTCCTCCCCAGAAGTCTATTTCTTGGCTTTCTCCAGAATATTCAGGA